AAAATTGTTTGTTATAGCTCATGAGTCACAAGGATTTTTAGAGAAAGGGAAAACAACGGGAACAATGGGAGCCCTGAGAATAGGTTTTGGTTGTACAAACTGTCTTGATATCAGCTTGAGATGGCACCTCTGTCAGTACAGCCCCGGCTGCCCCACCCCACTCCCCTCTGCACCTCCAGTCCTACATCCCTGCTGTTCTATCACATTTTTCCAACCCTTTCCAAAATGAGAAGAGAGTTGATACTCGGTAGCAAGGTTTTGAAATGCGGCAATGCCAGAAGTGTGTTTGCAAGGAGATATTATCTGCCTGTGGGGGAAGAAATCCTGAACTCCCATGTCCATTTGGGGAGCCAGCCTCCTATCTCTTCATCTAGTCTTGTTTCCTCTTGAAATGCTGGATGTTAAAGATTCAATGAACAACAGAACTCAAAATAGGAACAAGAAGCATTTTTGTCCAGCCCTTCTCAGCATTCAGAAGACAATGGTTTTAATCTGCTATCCCCATGCTGGCAAGGGAAAACTGACAAAGCCAAACTGCAGTCAAACCTTTCAACAGAGAGGGATTTTCTCCCCATCCAGCCCCATAAAAGCATGTCCAGTCTTGCTTGGCCACATCCATTAAAGCTCTTCTCCAAGCAGAGCAGAGTACAGGAACTAAATTCACACTGCACTGGGTCATTATATACCCAATGCAGGAGGAAAAAAACCATGATCCAATGCAGTAACAACTACTTTTTAGAAGGGAAAAGAGTTAAATCCTTGTAAAGAGATATAAAAAGGCGCCTTTCAAAACACGGAAGTAATATCTAAACAAGGCAGGCAGAAAATAATGTAAATTGTATAAATTTGTGGTTTCCCCTTCATCCTGAGCACTGCCTGCAGCTGCAGCCCCCTCTCCTCCCGAAGGTCTGGAGCGAGGGAGAAGGGCAGAGAGGATGTCCTGTGGGATGAGCAGCACCTGCTCAGCACAGCCCAGACTGCTCAGGGCTCTTCAGCTGAGAAAGGACGGCTGCAGGGCTGGCAGCAGGTGTTCTGCACAAAAAAGCAGGCTTTTGTCCCTCCAAAATATATTCCAGCAGTGCAGGTGAGCACTGTGGATCTCAAACAGCTCTGGAGGTAATGACTAACACAGCAGCTAAGGCAGTGACTCAGAGGCAGCATCCGAGGGAGTCCCTGGGCTGCTGATGGCTGGGAGCTGGCAGATAGAACCAGAGACTATCACTACACACTTGCCTTGTTCTTAGAGTCTCTCCTTAGACACTGACAACTGTTCCCTGTCAGGAACAGGAGAGAGGCTTGAAGGCTGCAGTCAAACCAGCGAGGCTCGTGCTCACATCCCCAGCAGCTCTACAGCCGGGGGCAGGAGTGCACTGATGTGCCACTAACAGAAGCAGAAATCCCTGCTTCAGGCATGTGTTACTCCCTGCTGCAGATTCAGCTCCATGGCAGGGATAACCTGAGCGAGCATCCCCTCCTTCCAGCTCCCAGGGTGGGGAGCACCACCAGCAGCTCCTTGCAGGAACCCGGGGAGATGGGTACCAGCCACCACGCTCCATTTGCAGACAAGTTAAGAGACAAACGAGCACTAATGAGATTAATTAAAATCACCAGATTGGTACTGCTATCACTGCAGATGCACGAAGCTGCTGGCAGCTGCCCAGGTTCATCCTCTGCCTTCAGGCAGAGCAGAGCAGCAGAGCCATGCCCAGGGCACCACCAGCATCAGGCTTTAGCCTTGAAGGCTCTGCTGCCCAGGCAAGGGGCAGGGAAGGACAACTGTCACCTCTGCGAGGGAGAGAGCCAAGAGAGAGGCCTGGTGCCTGGGACAGTCAGGAAAGAGCCCGGGCAGAGCCCCGTGACAGGCACAGATAAATATAATCACCCTCCCTGGCAATGGCCCCTTTGCGGATGTTTACAAACAGCTCAGTACTTTTCCATGTTAAGAAGCTTGTTTTTCCAGATGCCTTGTATCCGATGGTTTTTAATGTGTATAGTTAATCCCTTCTCACAGAGTCTTTCATAATAAACATCACCCCCTGACCTGAGTAATAACTATGTAACACTAATGCTTTTGATTTATCTGCTGCCCGGGTTGTCAGGAGGAATGCCTGTGTCTCTGGGACAGCAGCTCCCAGAGAAGTGGGGACATGGACTTGGAGAAGGGTAGGACAGGTTGGTGGGTCCATACACACACGAATGCCATTTCCCCAGCCCATCCTCCAGCATGGCCATCCCTCAGGAGACACCTGCACCCACTGCAGCTCTTGACAAAGCTACAATGTGTAAATCTGGAGCCTGAGTTATGGTTTGAAAAGATGTGTCCACCCAAAATGGCTGGGGGTTCAATATCCCTGCTAATGCACTCATCCTTCTCTCCCTATTATTATCCTGTGGTTTCCATCTGTCAGGGATGATGAGATCAACATCCATCCTCAGCAGGACGGACAAAAGAAAAGGTGATTCACTATTTCATGTGAAGTAGTTTGATAGCGGTGTAGTTTGTTGTTTTAGGTTTCTCAGTACTTGCTCCAACAGGACATGATGCCTGTCACAGTCTATGCCTGAAATCCCCCAGGGCTCCTGGGAGGATGTGCCAAACCCCACAGTGCTTGGACCAGACACACTCATGGGTGCTCACAGGAAGAGCAGAAGCTGGGTCACTGATGGAAAGGTTTAGAAGATGCTGTTGGAGAGGAAATTCATACTGGAGTGATCTCCAAACCATCTCCCTGCACTGCTGCAAGTCTTGGGGTGATACTCTATCCACCTCCAACAATGTCCTGACCCCTGAGTTCCAGCTGGTGCTGGTTTCCAGCAGACCTGCACACCAGCAAGGCAGGGGCAATGCACAGTGAGGGGAGCACAGCTGAGATCTGCACTGCTCCATCTGCTCGTGTGCCCACCAGGCTTCTGTAAAAGATGGTTTGTGAGCCTGAGCATCCTGGCCAAACTCCAGCTTGAGTAATCACACATGGCCTCCCCAAATTCCCCTAGAGTCTCAGTTCACATAAGCCACAGAGGTTCACTTTCTGTCCCAACTGCTGCTGAGCTGGCCACTGCTCAGCTTTTGCTCCACTTTATCTGTTCCACAGCTACATTTCATTGAGAGCCCTCCTCAGGGGATAATGGATCAGAAAGCAGAGGGAGGAGCCCTCTGCAGGCATCTGATGTCTCCCCAGGTGCCATGGACTAATATCTAGTTTTCACTCTAGCTGTTGCAGAGCAGCAACTTGGATCCAGCTCTTACCACACTTCATCAAGTCCAGAAGCATTTTCACTTGGAATCTTGGACTTATATTCAGTAGCAGCCAGGTAAAATCCTAGATGGCTGATTAAACTAACTCCTATTAAAGACAAAAATGTCTCTGCACCAGTGAGGCAGAAAGATGTCCCAACTCTTGGAGAAGTATTTTACTGAGCAGCAGCAGGGTGGCACCTATGACGCTGTTGTGACATGAGTCACATCTTCTCACATCTAACATGAGGCATCTCTGTGGCAGGGACTCCTGACAGCACCTAAAGGGCTCACCCAAGGCCTTTATGGACACATCAGGCACAGGGATGGGCAGTCATTTCAGAGAGGGGTAACAGTGCCACAGGAGGAGATGCCCCAAATGCTTCACTTTCCAAAGGAGGATTCAGCTCACAGAAATCTCCCCCACACCTACACTGAGAGACACATCTATAACCAAAACCCAACTTTACCAGTGCTAATATTCAATTTTCCAACAGCCTTGTTAGCAGCCAGTGACATCTGCACCCCTGGTTCTTGCTCTCTGGACTATTTCCAACTAACTCAGCTGGTAGTAGCAGCTTTCCAGTCCCTCTCTTTATCCAAGGCACAAATAACTTCAACTCTTTCAGTCTGTGTCCTTTGCCAACACAGATATTACAATGTAAACCTATCAGAGCAGCAAGAACCAAGTGCAGCTGTAATTCAGGCAGTGACCACAGGAAAACCTCAAAATCTCTACTCAGCTTGATGCAAAAGGAGGATGTCACAGAGGTTTGTGCTCACCAGGCCACAGCGTCAGGAGAGGTGAAATGGGGAGTTCACATGAGCCATGCCAGCTTCATCTGCTGCTAAACTTAGCACTGTTTGACTCCAGACCCCAGTCCAGAGGGAAGGGAATGTGAGAACAATGTCCCTCTGGCTTTGCTCGCGCTGCTGCTGAAATGAAGATGACCACTGCCAAACACCGCGGTTGCTACAACAGCAGCTCATGCCTGGTATAGTTTCCATGGCCAGTGGAAATGTATCCCAGGCACAAAAGGAAAACAGGACACAGCACCACCCCTTCCAACAGTCCTGGGACAAACAGCTCCTCCCACCCAAGGCCCAGCCCGTGCCCTCCAGAGCCAGCAGGTGAAGTGGGCAGTGAGCCCAGGATGGCAGCACTGCCCACACCAGCGAGGGAAACCCTGCAGCAAGGTCACACTGATGGCCTCAGCTCTGTCCCCGAGCCCCGTGACAGGGGGAAACCAACACAGCACAACCTGCAACTCAGCTGTGCTTCTCTCATTTCACAGCTCTCCACGCCTCCCACTTGGGGAGGAGTCACCACACCACCCTCCCCTGCCACCAGGGCTGTGACCTGTGCCGATAAAAACAGGGCACCCAGGAGGGCACCCAAACCAGGGAATCTTGGCATGCAGCCACCCCAGCACTGTGGGACCTCCCAGTCCCATCACACTTCACTGCTCTTGCCTCAGCAAGGATGGAGTGGGCACAAGGACCCCCACTGGTGGGTTGGGGCACAAGGACCCCCAGCCCTCAGCGGAGATGCTCACTGTGTGTCCCCATCAGCTGCCTCCCCGGGGAGCTGGGGCTGACACAGCTGTTGGGAGTGGTGGCTCTGCAGCACGGGCTCTGCCTCCTCGAGGGTACCCTGTCCTGGCACCCACTGCCACAGAAGCCATGGGCACGCTGGTTTCCTCTTCTGGGCAAGTGCAATCCCATGGGAAACTCTCCTTTGGGAAAAGCCTAAAAGCCCACGTACCTCAGAGGGCTTCTTCTCCTTCTGCCGTGACCAGGGGGATTTGGTATTCGGAATTTTAGAGCATCTGGAGGTGGATGTGGTGTGACCTGCAACAAGGCAACAGAGACAGGTTACCTGGGGAAGAGCCAAAGCTTTTCCTGACCTCACCAGCCCACTGCTCCAGCCTCAGCCAACACTTTGGGTCAGCACTCAGATGGAATAACACCTTCACATGACTTTTTTTTTTGTACAATATCATCACCACTGCTGCCACCCCTGAAAGGGAAGGGTAGCTAAAGCCTGAAATGTGATGGAACCACATACTACTGATCTTTATTTCCAACCCATCTGTATCATTATCACTTAAATCTAAGACTGTATTTGTTAATAATAAATAACAACTGATTATTGGAATTTCATGCTATAATAATGATGACAGTTCAGTCTTCTGTATAGGAGGACCCCTCCATATTCCAGTATATAAAAATGTTTCTGTCAGGTTGCAACAAAATAACTACCAATAGGCCTATTTAACACTGATATTATCCTTGGAGGGCTAAATAGGAGGAAACACTACTGTGTACATAAGCAACATCCAAACACTGTGGAGCCAGGAGCTGAGCTTACTCAGGGATAGGCTGTGGTACCACTGCAGTGGGAAACTGTTCTTCCACCAGCTCAGGTAGCTGAGCCCAGGTAAATTTCACATGCTTACTTTTCCTGGCAGGGAAGAGGCACCAGCTCGACCTGCATTCTTTACTTGCAGTGCACTTTCTTGTACTTCACAAAATGAAGGCCAAATGTGGGGGCATCACCTGTTCCCAAAAGACAGCTTGTTTTTTGAAGTTGCAGGCCAGGTGTTATTAAAGAGGGTTCCATACAAATCAAATCCTTTATTATAACACCTCAGAACACAACAGGACTGTGTAGACAAAGCCCAGAGCAGACATCCTATACTGCAGCTCCATGGACACACTGCTTTACTCACCAAGCTGCTCCAAGGAGTGCAGCAGCAGCAGCTCACAGCTTTCATAGAGAGATCAGCACTAATTTCCACCTTGCCCCCTCTTCTCAAGCTAAAATGTGATGCTACAGCTATACAGGCTTGGAAAACACACCACAACTACCCTTTCCTGGCAGAGGCATGAAAAAGAAGGTCACCACTCTGTTTACAACTATCCTGCAGGAGAGCATTTGTCAAAAGCTTAGATATCACCTGCAGCATAAATATCCAAGCCCCACAGAGATAAGGCCATGTTGTTTAATACCATGATTAAAGATGCCTTACCCCCGAAAGGCAGCGAAGCCAGCGAGCACAGCTCGGCTCCGTAAGCCTTTGAGCATCTGGGGATTAGGAGACGGGAAGTTTGGAGCAAGGCTTCCAAAACAAACCCTTTTCTGAGATAGAGATGTTTCATTTTACGAGAAGCAAGGGTGTTGACAGAGCCTGAAACACTTTCTGTAGGCACAGCTCAGCCCCCAGGCCCCCTGGGCTCCAGCAGGATGGGGGTCCCCGCTGGCAGCCAACAGCAGGTTCCCGTGGTGCAAACTCCACTCACACTGACAGTATTTTTGGCTAAAGCTGTGGGAACAGCAGCCAAACCCAGCAAGATCAGCCTTTCCATAACCCCCTGTAATCTCTCCATCATCCTGTTAGGAAAAAGCCCAGAAGTTTAGTGTCTTTAGTAAAGTCCCTTTCGTTCTCGGATATCCAGCAGCCAGATCCTGTAAAGTGTGGAGAGCAAATTCCCAGCACGGCCCAGATGAAATTACTGTGACATTTGTAAGAAACCAAGAGCAACTAGTAAGAAACTCCAGAGTCCAGACAAGGGATTAGGCTGGTGCCTTGAGGGTACTGAACACCGAGGCACTGCGGTATGTCTGCAGCGGGTGAAACCCTGGAATAAGTGGGAGAGGAGAGTGCTGTATTTATAGCCAAAATTCAGCACATTTGCACATGTTTATTGTTGAACACATGCTTCTGTGCCTTCCTGAATGAGGATGAAGTGAGGTAGATGCTGAAAAGCAAGCGTGGGCTTGCAGGTTTTGCTGGCTTGAGCCTTATCCCTTTTCCCGCATCACTCTTCAGTTTGCAAGAAGGGAACAATGCGGCTCCAGTTTTACTCTGACTCCAGTAAAAACTTCCCTTTCCCCTGGTACAACCAAAATCAAGAGCAAACTAGTCTCAGGCTGTAGCTCACAGGAAAGGACAACTCATCTACAAAGGGTGTTTGCTGCTTCGTTAGCAGATCTGCAATCAGCAGCTCTCCTCGCCCAGACTCCTCACACGAGGGAGACACTCTCATCAGTTAAGAGGAGCCACAGCCAAGTGTTTAAATAAATTGATATCAGCTTGCTGCTGCACTTCTGACAAACCCAGCCCTGCACACTATTCATTGTGCACACTTCCCAGTAGATGCAGTTTCCTCCACTCTTTGTAAAGTAATTATTCAAGCATTTTGACTGCTGGAGGTGAATCTTGTTCAAAGCTTTGAATTAAAGGTCTTACTGTCAGTGGTGTCCGAGTTATCACTGCTGATGGAGTACTTGCGTCGTTTTTCTTCCATCTGTAACAAAAGAAATGGAACATTACACTTCATGTCCACAAAACTCATCTCAGCACCAAAGCACTGCTATCTCAGTATCTGCACACCCTCCTACCCCAGCACCAGTCAGTCCTGATCCTCAGGACAGACAACTACCCAGAGGCTGAAAAAAAATGCAAGAAAACAATTCTCATGGATTTTTAAAAAAAACTTTAATTGTCTTTCTACCATCTCTTCCCACCCCCAGTAGTTACAGTGGGTGCATCTGGATCACTCAGTTTGCATGGAAATTTGTCAGTGCAGGATTTGCATCCAAATGTCTCATCCTCTGCAAGAGCACTGCCAAGGGAGGAAGCTCCAACAGGACCAGAGGATGCCCTCAAGAGACCACGGTGCTGTTGGATGGGAGAAAAGATGTTCTGGGAACCACCTGTCCCAGCTGCAAAGCGAAGAGTGAAGACAGAAGAATGGAAACTGCACACTCTCGGTATGTCTGCAGGGGGAAGTACAAGCATCCCGGAGCTGAAGAGAACCCCTGTGTACCACAAGCCTGGGGTTTTACCCTCTGACTCATCTTCCCATTCAGCCCTATCTACTTCTTTTAATACCTCGGGAGTATCTGTCACACAGGAAGCACCTCCCATCACTGTGCACTGCCCGGAGCTGGCACCAGAGCTCCCAGGGGTGGGTGAGTGGCTTCTGCTCAGCTGCCCTGACTGCTCCATCCCCTCAGAGCTGCAGTCACAGCAGCAGGTACCACTGCACTGATGAGGAGACCCCTTTCAAGCTCAGCTGATTTGCTTTGAGACTTTGAACAAGCCACAGGAGTGCCCGAAATCAGCAGCTTCTCCTGAACTCGTCCCTTGGGAGCCAAGCACCCGGAACTTAAAGTAGGTGCTTCAGGAAAAAAAAAGAAGAAAGGTACTTTAACTTCTGAAAATCCAAATTTTACCATTGTGGCTGGTGGTTGATCAACGTGGCTCCCAACAGAGGGCTTGGGCAGCTCTGGATGGAAAGGGCTACCTGTGGACCAGACAACTATCCAACAGTTGGACAGTTGTCAAAATACATCCACAGGAAACAGTCTTAACCTCACTGAAATCTTCCTAGTACTTTCTGAGATATTTTCGAAGAGTCTGAATGCGTTCAAATGTTATACCCACTATTGCTTCCACAAATGATAAGTGGGAATGATAATGAAACACTGGGTTTGTGTGGTTTGGTTGCAGCAGGTACAAGCAGCACACAGACTGGGATAGTAAGCTAGAGCATGGCATTTCCCCCCAAACATCAGGAAATGTTCCACATAAGCATATAAAAACCTTGTAATAGCTGTATTTTACAATATATGTGCTATCACAGCGTTATAAAGGAAAATACTACAAAATATCCTAAACATTTAAACTATCAGTGTTGTGGTAAGGCATTGCCCTGTCAAAATGTGACTTAAAACACTCCCTAAGAATATGGCAATATCAATACTTTTCCCCTGGTGATTCAAGGGGAAACAGATGTTATTAAACCAGCCTTGTTCCAAATAGCCATTAGATTTTGCTTGGGGGAAATGAAATAGAAGATAGCTCTAACTGCAGCTGACTTACTTTTAGTGAAAATCCTACCTCAACCTTCTAAACTGGTTCCTACTGGTCTGAAGTGACAAACAGACATTTGGAGCACAAAGAGCAAGGCTTTTATTGATTCTGGAGTTCCTAATCACAGAGATTAAATAAACCAAAGCCAAGAGGAGGGAAAAGAACACCTGAGGTGAAGCAAAGGAATGCTACTGATAGCCAGTGAGATTTCCCAGGTTTCCCATCTTTGCTTTTACAGCAAGGCAGCATCACTGACATCACTCTCCTTCCAAGGCAGGGAAAAAGGTTTGCAATCAATGCTCAGGTAGCAGGAGGCTGGCACTGGTTTTGGCTGATACGTATGAGGAGATGCACTGATCATCCCTCTCACTGAACTTGGTGCCTGCATCCTGCTGCTGTCCCACAGCTGCCTACAGAATTAACACACTCACTACGTAACAAGATGAATTGATATTCACATACAGAAGTGGCTCACATTGCAGGTAAAAATAGCGTCTGTACTTCAGTAAATCATTTTGCCACTGTTTGGCAGGATGCAAGACAGCATCCTCCAAACCAAACTGCATTAAATTTGTGAATGAAATTCTGGCTTGAGCAAAGTGCAGACATCTCTGAACAGCAGCACTGAAAGGCTGGGCAGGGCATGGCACACTGTGTGCCTGAAAGGAGCAAAAGTTCTGGCCAAAACCAGGACATTCTAGAAAATTGTTACACTGCAGACCGTGCTAAGAAGATACTGCTTTCTGAGGGACTCATCTCGAGCAGCCAAACAGTAGTAAACCGCATGGCACTTAAGAGAGGAATTTACTGTAGAAGGGTAATTGGGCCATTTCCCCATCTGTATCCCAGAGTTATAAAGTCTGATGGTGGCTGAGCTCCCACCACCCTTTTGGCACCCGCAGGGGGTGGCTGGGGGTGGGGAGGGCTCGCTGCCCACATCCCTCCCAGGGCTGGAGCTCCAGCTCCCAAAAGCTCTCAGGAGCAATTCAGTTGGTGAACTACTGAGCAACTTAAGTCCCCACAAAATATCGTCTCTGCTCCAAAATTAATCTTTTGTTTACATTAGAAGTTAATTTCACCTTTAACTGACCCATTCCCCACATGGCATCATTAATAAAGTCATAACAAATACCAAAAAAATTTGTAATACTTTGAAAAGGTCACTGTTAGGTCAAACTTGGCCCAAAATCTAGTTTTTACAGAGCCAGAAACCAAGTGAAAGGTTTCTATGTAGGCTTGCTTAAAAAATTCAAACAGAAACAGATGTGGGTTTCTTTTATAAACAAATGAACATCCCCCTGAAGTGTCTGCAACTCAAATCCACAGGCATAGCCCTGGCTAATGCCTGGAAACCAAAAACTGAACTGCTTGCAAACCAACACATGTTTAGCATTGCCTTTGTTCAAAGCTGAGAAAGGCAGATAAATGCTAAACCTAGAAGATGATGGCCCTTCATCAGCCTAAACAAATGTAAATCACTATGTCCTTGGACAAATTAGCACCATTGGTGTTAAAATGGGGATGATGGCCTCAGGCTGGCTGGTCCTGCCTCACAGCAGGGGAAGGCTGGAGAGGAGCTCATGGGAATGTAATTTTGCCCAGCCCATGCAACCTGGGAGAGGTGAAGGCAACTACTGCTGGCACACAGAGATGCCTGTGCCCAGACCCTGAGCTCAGCTGGGCACGCTGCCAGGGACAGGCACCCGCTGCCATCCACACTAAACCGAAATGCCTCATCCAGCTTCAGCTAGCACAGAGATCTTTCTCTGCAGACCCCTCCACCAGCCCTGTGCTCTGGAGAGCCCCCTGATGTTTCCCAGCTCCCTGCAAACTCTTCTGCACATCAACTCCACGTGCGATCTGGAGATTTTTAGTGGCATCCCAGCACCCTGTGCAGAGGCTGTTTCCACTGTTTCCAAGAACGAACCATTCTGATTCGTGGCAAGCAAATAGAGAAATCCATACATGCCTTTGCTCCCCACTTCCACAGGGAACAGGCACAGAAACCTGCATAAGTTGCAGAAAAAAAATAAGAAAAAAAGAAAAAGAAAAAAAAAAAAGGAAAGTATTTGGTCATCACCTCCTCCCAGCGTCCCCGCAGGCTGAGGGATGCGCCGCGCTCGGTCCCCGCGCCGTCACCTCTGACGCTGTGAGCAACACCGGCTCAATGATGTGCTCTGTTTGTGAGCTGCAATGAGACTGCAGAAAAACCACTTCCCTGTTTGTTCTTCCAGCCCAGAAATAGGAACACAAACAGAACATAGTGCCCCCAGCGGCACGCACACGGCTCCGGCCACCGACCCCGCGCCGGGGACCCCGTCCCGGAGCCGCCCCGGCACCTGCGCCCGGCCGCACCGAGCCCCGGGGCTGCTCCCGACGCATCCCCTCCGCCTCTAACGCGCCTTTCCCTCTGTCTAGGAACACCAGCCAGTTGTTAGAAAGTGTAATAAAAAGGGTGGAGGGCTGGAACATCCCAGTCAGTACACCGTGGGAGGGTTGTCCTCGTCCCATTGCCTTTTCCCATGAACAAATTCTGGAGCCAAGCGCTGCTACAGGAGGCTCTGAGAGAGCAGCAGCATCCCCCAAATTTGCACAGCCCCAATTTCGTAGTAACAGGGCAAACTTTTGGACCAAAGGATGCACAGCAGCAGGGCCAGCAAGACCCGCAGCAAATCGTGGTGCTCAGCCCCTAGAGCTGGGAGACGCTTTTCCTCATCTCCCCGGGAACCCTGCAAAGTGTGAACGCTAAAGAGCAGGATCCTGGTACCTACACCAACCATTTTCTGGGCAGGAGCCTGCCCCTGCCTGCCGGGGCTCGTCTGTCCCTCGCCTCCTCTACAGGCTGCTGCCAGCCCCAGCTTTCCAGCAAAAGCTCAGGTGCCCAGGTGAGGAGCAAGCCATCCCTCCTCTCCTCCATACCAACGCTGCTGTCTTGGCTCCCCAGGGCAAAATTTAATCTCATTTCAATTTAAAACAAAACAAGCCCTCGTTTACTTCCTGTGCTTTGCCTTTCTCCACACCTACAAGGGGCTTTTTTTTTCTTTACTACTCACGTTTATAACTTTACTTGCCACTTCTGACTCGTTACCTTATAATTATCTATTTTTTCTTTAGCAAGCCCAGACAGAGCACAGGTAATCAGAAAGGTTACTGAGGGCACTGGGGCCACCCCTGCCTTCCTGGGGGAAGGTGCAGGCAGCGACACAGGGCATGAGAAGGGACACCAGGCACAGCTCCACGCCCACAGCCAGCTGCCCCATCCTGCAGGTCTCTTGAGCATCAAAAACTCAGAGGAAATCAACAGGAGATACAGATACTCCAATCTTTGTGAAAGATGAAAACCCACAGAAAGGTGAAGACCAGACCTGGTCTGAAGGACCATCCACCCACCAACTTTCAGAACTTGGGTGTCAAACACCATTGAGAGCAGTCAATACTTTAAAGGAATTGCATCTCCTTGCCTACAGACCCCCTAATGTGCACCCTCCATCCTTTGCTCCAAGCCTACATATTTGAACATCAGCCTCAATTTTCTTAAGAAAAACAAATTTAACCTTCGATTTAACCTTTCTGCAAGCTATTTTTACTCCTATCTCAAGCTTATTTTAACCCCAGTAGCCAATAAATGCTTAAAGGTCAAACACCATTCCTAAAAGCTGGACTCCTTACCCCTGGGGAGAAGGCTGAGATCAGATAATTGGTTTTATTCCCCCCAAGCAAAACCTCCTCTTAGAACTGTCCAAGCGGTCGGAGGGTGCTGGCTTCAACCCTTCAAAACAATTTTCACTGTGGGGGCTGAGAAAGGCACTGAGAATTTTCCCTGTGAACGCCATGCCATCCTTCTCTTCCCGCTCAAAAAGCGCTCAAAACGTATAGGTACGGAGAGAGAGAGAGAAATGTATTTTCCCCTCATTGCGACCGAGGCTGACAATCCAGCAGCCTCCCGCCTTTACAGCGCTTCCCAACTTCCAGCTGGCTGCTAGGGGCTGGGCCGGGGCAGCCGGGGCCGCCGGGGCCGCTCCCAGCCCCGCGCCCTGCCCGGGCCGGGGCTCGGCAGGTGGGCAAGGGGCAGGAGCGGCGCCGGCTGCCCCAAGGATGCGGAGGGCGCCCGGGGATGGGGCAGGTGGCCGGGGAGAGAAGGAGGGGCGGCCCTGGGGGGGGACATCGGCGCGGGGGGCCGCGGGATGTTTCACATTTCCGAGCGCGGGCGACGCCGTGGGGGGAGCGGCGGAGCCTCCGGCAGCCCCGGGACCGAGCGGCGCGGTGCGGCGGGGGAAGGCGGCGGGGAAAGCCCCGCGGTGAGGAGGGAGGGAGGGAAGGGGGGNCCGAGCCCGCTGCCCGCCCGAGCCCGCGGGGCGCCGGGGCGTCCCCTCCTCTCCCGGCGGGCAGGGCAGGGCGCGGGGCCGCTGCCGCAGTCATTAATTCGGGGAATAAAGGGGCGAAGCGGCGAGCCGAGCCTTGAAAAGTTCTTGTTTACGTCCCCGCCGCCTCCCTCTCCCGCACTTCCAAAGGAGAGTGACCACCGTGCGCCATCCGCCCCGGGAATGGTGCACATCCCCCGCCCGGCAGCCGGGGGAGGGAGGGGAAAAAAATAAATAATAAAAAAATAAAAAGACATGTATACAGCAAAAGCAGGGGGAGCTGCAAAATAACCATCCGCTGCAAACCCAGCCCGCTCCCGCCGCCACCCCGCCGAGCCTTTACCTTGGCCAGGAGTGTCCGCCCGGAGTTGCGCCGGTCTCTGGGGTGACAGGCGGGAGGAGGCGGGGGCGGGGGATGCTCCCGCAGTCCCCGGCCGGGAGAGCCCCCTCGGCGGCTCAATCCGGTGTCATTGCCAGGGCCGCGCCGCCCGGGCCCTCCTTAGGAGCGCCCGCCCGGTAACTCCATGGATGCGGTCCCGCTCCCAGCCGAGATGGCCGCTCCGCCGCGGCCGGGCGAGCCCTGCCCGCCTGTTTCTCTTTCTTTTTCACCCCGCACTTCCTCCGGCGCTCCGCGCCCCGCCGCCGCCCGGGCTCCGGCTCCGGCAGGGAGGCGGGGAAGCGACTTTCGGAGCGGGGACGGATAATGGTGGCGGTGCTTCCACCCCCCCACCCACCCCCCC